CTCAGTTACCTTTTAATTAAATTGTATTTATTTATCATTCTCTCAGTTACCTTTTAATTAAATTGTATTTATTTATCATTCTAACAATTACCTTTTAATTGAATTGTATTTATTTATCATTCTAACAATTACTTTTTAATTAAATTGTATTTATTTATCATTGTCACAATTACCTTTTAATTAAATTGAAGCGTTGAATTTGAAATATATATTTCCGATAATAAACTTATAATCGCAAGAAAGAAGTATAACGAGGTTCATTCCGTTCTTTGAAGATACTTTTATTGTTGAAGCCCTCTGTCATAGGCCACTGTTTAATTTGAAGAATAAAGAAATATTATTTCCTGTATTAACTTAATTCAAACGATATTTATGGCGCCAGGAGATTCGGGTGGGATGGATAAAAAAACTGAAGGGGCTGTAGTGTTTAGGAAGTGAAACAAAATCAAACTTTTGAACTTTTTTTGGGGGTGCAGGGGCTACAGAAGAGGCTCAGGCATACCTTGGGATAGCTTTAGCAACCTTCCTCACTCCCACTTTATGGTTGTGCATATATACGGGACTCAAATCCTGTTCAAGACGGTATAAAAATGTATTAGTGCTGACAGCAATGATGATTCCAAAATTAATACTAAAGAAAATAAAAGTGCTTTTTGTAATTATGTTGTTATACACGAGTAAACTAATTTTGTATTACACATTTAGCTAAGTTCCCCAAGTTACTGTTATTTGACCTTTGCACTTCTTGGTTCTTGTTTTATCTGTTGTTCTTCGTGCCTGATTGGTTGTTTTTCATTTCAAGTTAAGCTGTCGTTACTTTCCAATCAACGTCCCGCAAATTGCTGATATTTTTTTTATGCATTTTACGATTTTTGTCACTATGGGTTGGAAAAAATTGTATTGTCTGCCACAGTTATAAACACAATAGCGTTTGGTAAAGAAATGTACTAAATAGTTATAGAAGCATTTTCCCGGTTTAGTTCTATTCAAGCATATATGAAATAAAGAAGTTATTTAAAAAACTGACCCTGGTCAATAAATTTTTCGTGCATGGTAATGGCAGGAAATGGTAAGCAGGTGGGGAGGAGGAGGCGCATCAGTACCTTATTAAACGTTTGTTACATCGTTTCATTTGAGAGATTATTTTATGTTAAAATAACGGTAAATTTTAAACTGTTTCCAAATGTCTGCCAGCAATGCCAGGCGTACGTATATCCGATTCAATTTTATTATTCATCAGGATCTCTACAAGCCT